CACACTAAATTCATTCTTCGTCTCTAAATATTCTTTAATCTCTCTCTTTCCCTTTCCTTTCCTCCTTCCTCTTCCTCCTGTTCCTCAATGGCCATTCTGCTTTTTTCTATAGATTCTTCCCTTTCAATTTTTCATCCATCCAAAGACTTCAATTACTGAATTTATATGAGGAGAAGGCGGCAGGTGGCCCGGTCTAATCTCTGTGTGAACCTATTGATCACTGGTCTTCTGAAATAGACTAATGATTTTATATGAGAGCTCTTATCTGTGAAATTCTCTTACAGGATATCCCTGTTTCAGGGTTACTTACATTAAATAAAACTAGACTCTGTAGATTTATGACTCATAACCTGTAAAAAGATTTCACAAAATCCCTGGGATGATCTGTGTAGAAAAAACTTTTTTTCAGTTTTTTGGTTACCTCTTTCAGAGATGAAAATCCCTTCATTGTGTGAGAAGTCTTTTCCCCCAGGAAAAAATCAATTTCAGTGTCCAGGAGCAGATAAAAGAAATGTTTCTCTGCCCCTGGCCAGTGTGGCTCAGTTGGTTGGACATCAAGGTTGCCAGTTCAATTCCCGGTCAGGGCACGTGCCCCAGTTGCTGGCTTGATCACCAGTAGGGGGTGTGCAGGGGGCAGCCGATCAGTGTTTCACTCTCACATCATTGTTTTTCTCCCCCTCTCCTTCTCCCTTCCTCTCTTTCTAAAAATCAATAAAAAATCTTTTTTAAAAATGTTTCTCTTCCCATGTGGAGTGTTTGCCCTCTTGCTTCTCTACACCTCACTTGTCCAATTCAAATCCCATCTCATCCAAAAAGCCTCCCCCACCTCTCATGTATTCACTGGCAGCAGTAGGAGGTGGCATTTTGATGCCACTGAACTCTGAACACATAGGACTGCCATTCATTCTGGACATTCAGCCAAGAATGGCTTCTCTCTCTTCTGCTTTCCTAGGGCAGGGAAACTGTTCTCATGAACAGGGTGTGGTATCTTTCCTCCTATAGTCTTAAAAACCCCCAGCTAGACAAGGTTAAGAAAGAGCAGTGGTAAACATTTTTAGCAATTCTTCCCTAAAACCTCCTGGTCTACATGTCTATGTGGTGAGTTCCCGGGAGTAAGATGAGCTAAACTTGGCTTGCAAAGGAACCAGGAATGTTTCTGCTAAACTCCTTAAGGGTCTCCAGAGAGGGTCAGACTGCAGTTGAATAGTCATCTCAAGGATTCTTGGAAAGGATTCTTCCTTTCTCAAAACCGACGCTCCCTGCACCCACAAATGCTGTGGCAGAAGAACCTTGGACTGAGCTTCAGGAGTCTGCGGGGATCTAATCCTGGCTCTCACAGTAACCAGATGTGTGATCTTGAACATCTCTTCCCCATTCTGGGCTTCAGTTTCACCAACCATAAAATAAATAACATAAATTTGATATTCTCACTTACACTTGAAGAAAGAGAGTTGGATCATTCTTTGTGGATACACTGTAAAATTTATCATAGTTTTCAAGGAACAGGGCTCATACTTATAATTTTCTGGCCATCTCACAAATTCTTTAGTATTCTTTTCGAAAATGAGCATGAAACTTGTTTCACGCTTGAGGCCTTGCTGTGATGACCATCACTTTGCCATGTTTTAGTGTTTTTGATTTAGGGAATAATTTTAAATTGTGTACTCATTAGGCAAAATTTCTAAAAGCTTTGTTGTAAATCTGCTTTTCTATTTTACTTCAATTAAGAAAATGGTTTCAGCCCGGCCGGGCGTGGCTCAGTGGTTGAGTATCGACCTAGGATCCAGTCGAGAGGGGTTCGATTCCCGGTCAGGGCGCATGCTTGGTTGCGGGCTTGATCAAGGAGTCTCTCATCATTGATGTTTCTATCTCTCTCTCTCCCTCTCCTTTCCTCTCTCTGAAATCAATAAAGATATATTTAAAAAAAAAAAGAAAATGGTTTGACTTCACCAAGTCATGTCTTATATTTCTGCATATGACAATGTGCATCTCTCTCTGCATATTGAATGTAAAGAACATAAAAGAAACACAAGAGCACAAGTGTCACCTTGTTGGGCTTGCCACCAGTTTTTGGAGAAGCCATCAACTGGGCAGGCAGCTACTCAGTTCAATGAATCAGCCACTAACCCAAACAAAACATGGTGTCGTAGGTTCACCTCCTGGTTCACTTTGCACGTGCAGATATTAAGACTGTTCAAAGGTTTAACCTTAGCTTATGTAACAGGCACAGACAGGTCCTCAGATTTCCAGTCTTGGCACTTAGATGCTAAAAAGTATTAATGGTTTTACCAACTGAAGACTTATAGGAAGAGATATAAATCAATTAAATTTCTTTAGGATGGAGAGTAGAAGTTTGTAGGCAATAGGAGCATGAGTTAACACTGTTCTCACAATTCATCTGATCATGGAATCCTCATTTAGTCAGTGTTCACTCAAAGAACCATCACACTATAAATAGGAAAAGCATGGGGGAGTGGAAATTACAAAAACACTATGTTGAATGATTATGTACTTACAATTTTTTATTTCACTTGACAACTACACAACAATTTCATTCACTGTAAAATCACAAGCAGACACAACATCTAGAAATATTACAGATAAATGAGTAAAAATTTGATACATTTTAAGCTGAAAAGCCAAAAGAGATTTGGTTGTCACATCTAAAAAGTTCCTATTTAATATAGCCAACTGTTTTTCAGCATTCCTAATGGAAAAGGTGAACACGGTGACAACAAATTATATCATTTTATTATTTTTTAGTCTAAAAACTAACTTTCCTGATTTAATGCAATATACGATTTTATAAAAAGTAAGAACTGCCTTACAAGGCATGTTGCATTTAGGCTAATATTTTAATAATTTTTTTTCTCTGAAAGTATTCTGATTAAATGGTAGGGTAAATCTATTGGATGATGAATGGAAAAATAATAGATTTTTGAAATGTATTTTCCAGGGAAAGAAAATAACTACATAAAATAAACTTTGCTACCAGAAATAAAGAGTTGACTATTTTGGGGGGGGAGGGGGGGGAGAGGAATGCCATACAGGTTTCACTTAAATAGTTATAAATGTGTTGCTTTACAATTATTTAAGAAGAAAGGGACAAGTCAATTCTACAGCTATACACATTCATGAGAACAAAAACAGATTGAGAAACAAGTATCACATTGCTCAGATTCATGCTGGCTGGGGAGCAGGCACAGGAAGATGGTCAATACTTCCATGATGACAAAAATGCTTTGATTTGGAAGTTTCTAAAACCCTGAGCTCATCTTCTGACTGCAAACTGATCTGCCATTTCCTTTGGCACTTCTGCCACCAAATTTGACTGCCTCGTTATACCAACTTGTCACTGAGAACATAATGCATATAGCACTGCTGAGAAGTGTAAGGGAATAATTTATACAAAGGATAATGAAAGGGCTAGATGTTGAGGTTTCTTGTTAGCCAAGCTAACAAGATTTTCCTTGTCCAGGAACATTGGTCTACTCTTCTGATTACTTGTGCGGTGGAAAGAGTTTTTCCACATATTATTCCATTGGCTCTTCACACCCATCTCCTCGGTAGCTATCACAGGTACTATCTTCATCCTCTCCAAGAGGCTTTACCCAGGGTCACAGAGGTGACATCCCCTCCAAGAGGCTTTACCCAGGGTCACAGAGGTGACAGAGCTGGATAAGATCTTCTGGTTCAAAAATTCCAAATTCCAAAATTGAAAACACCAAACAAAGGAGGTGATTAGAAAGTGGGACATGCTCTCGATAATCCCATAGAGTTACTGAATCTCACTGTTAGCCCCCCTCCCCCATTTGTATGTCCCTTTCTTGCCTAGGTGCCCAGGGCTCTACCACTGACCTTCATCACCTGCCACTGGGTTGCATGACTCCATTCACATTAAGGAGGGGAAATGTAATGGGTTATGCCTCCCCAAAGTACCTCCATTTTTAAAGAGAATCAAGCTTTAATCCAAAGGAATAATGACTGTGATGGGATTCAGTGACAAAGACATCATGCCCTGAAATCATACCAATAAGGGTAAAAGCTGGTGGGAATGAAAAAATGGCTGATAGCCACATTCATGAGGTGTTGTGTCTCCTTTCAAAGGTTCTATGCTTCAGCAGCATGGAGACATGAGAAGGACTTAAGGGGAAGCCTAACTGGTCCAAATCAGAATAACTGAGAGGTGGAAGTAGTATCACCCTTAGACCCACAGAATCTGAGCCCCTTCCCTGAGCCCCACACACTTTCAGAGGTCCTCTACTTGTACCCCTCCCACTGAGGGTGAGAAGTCCATTGAGCCAAAGGAACATACCCATCCTGAGCCCAGGCTCTCCCCTTTTGACTTGCTCCAGGCACCCAGAACCCCATAATTCCCTCTCCAGTGGCTTCCAGGGTCTCTGTGGCTTCTTCCCCAGGTCCATCCTTATCATCGCAAACTTCGCCACATATGGGTACAACCCTGGGCCTGAGGGATGGCCGTGGGGCAATACGGGGAAAGAGGGTTTGGACAGAATTTGGCCCTGCATACTGAGGTGCCCATGTGCATGCGTGCAAGGCTCCTCACAGGGAGAGTCGGGACCAAGAAGGAGAAGAGAACAGATAAAGAAAGAACTGGGAGCCAGTTTTGCATTCTCGCTCCAACCTCACAAATGTTAGGAGTGAAGTCGGGCCTAAGAACAATCCTAGAGATGGGCTACATCAGTGTCTGATGGGTAGCCGAGACTGCTCGGAGAGACCCTCGCCCTACAAACATGTGTGCCGCAGTCCAGACACCTGCCTGCTCAGGCTCCCTTCTGGAACCTCCCAATTCCAGGCTGTCTACGGCCAACATTTTTTCATGGTTTAATCCCTACTCTTTTTTTTTGGCCATTAAATGTGATCAACCTGTATAGGTTTCACCAGTGCCTCCTCTTTGCACAAATTGGACATTCAATGAGTGTCGGTCACTGGCGATGGTGTCCAGACAGACCAGGTTTGGAAAACCTGAGCTCCCTGAACACACGTGCACAGCGCTGTCCATTTACTTGCCCCCTGCGGCGGGCCCAGCGCTCCGGGTGACGGGGTGTATCTCAGGACGCCGGCCAACGCCCCACAGGCCGCTCTAGAAGGTGGAAGGGCGCGTGCGTTACTTTATCCTGATGCAGTCCACCTCCTCCGTGGCCGGCACCGCCGTGGTCCTGAGATCCAGGTCGGCGCTGGACTTGCTCCCGCTGGACGACGACTTCCAGTGCAGCAGCAGGATCCTCTTGAAGTACTTGACGGTGTTGTTCTTGACGGTCACGAAGCACAGGGTGTTGATCATGCTGTTGCTCATGGCGATGCACTCGACCACGTAGAAGGCCGTGAGGTAGTGCTTCTCCTTCACGAACACGGCGGGGAAGAAGTCGCGCACGACCGCGAAGCCGTAGAAGGGCGCCCAGCACAGCACGTAGGCGGTGAGGATGCCCATGAGCACCAGCACCGTCTTCCGGCGGCAGCGCAGCCGCTTCCGGATCTGCTCCGTCTGGAAACCGGGCACGCCCTTGAACCAGAGTTCCCGCGAGATGCGCGCGTAGCACAGCGTCATGGCGACCACCGGGCCCACGAACTCCACGGCGAAGATGAAGAGGAAGTAGGACTTGTAGTAGAGCTGCTGGTCCACCGGCCAGATCTGGCCGCAGAAGATCTTCTCCTGGTCCTTGACAATGATGAGAACCGTCTCGGTGGTGAAGTAGGCGGAGGGGATGGCGATGAGGATGGACACCGCCCAGACCACGGCGATCAGGCCGGTGGCCGTTTGACACTTCATGCGGGGGCGCAGCGGGTGGACGATGACCAGGTACCTAGGACGGGAGCGCAGACGGTCAGCCGCCGTGACACAGGGAGGCCGGGTGGCGTGCGCGGAGGAAAACAACAAGGTTATGTGTAAGGGCTTTCGAGAAAGGCAGGCCTGACCTGGGCCCCAGCTCCGCCCCTGACTGCGGCAACCTGCAGCCTTAAGCGGGTTCTGTTCAACCTCTCTGAATCTGTTTTCTTATTTGCAAAAGTTTGTGACTGCTTTTAAGGATCCGATATGTTAATGTATACACACTTCCTGACATACACTCAATACATGGTAACTGCTGTTATTAAATGTGGTGATAATGCCTCCCATCAGCTTCTGGCCTGGCATTATTCCCAGGTCCTTCCTCCTTTCAGGACCATTCATCTCGATTACCCCACAGCCTAGAGCTAAAAGGGGCCTGACAGTTCCCAAGACGTATTGGGAGAGCTTGTGCTTTCCAGGGGAAGCCGTGGGCAAAGGTTTGCCTGCATTCCACAATTTTCAAAACACTGTTCTGCATGCAAAGGGAGAGGAAAACATGGGATCATTTATTTTACTTTCCAGGTGGAAAGACAGAGGCCAGTGAGAGATGAGTGACTTTCTCAAGGTCAAATACCATAAGACCCTTGGGTAGAAAACATTTAACCCCATCTCGCATGATGGATGGGAAAATCAATTGAGATTATACATGGATGTGTCTTTTTAAACCACAAAGCCCCAGATAGTAAAAGATACTACTTTTGTTCTCTCAAAAAAATAAATAAATAACCCACTGCTGTTACCACAGCGGTCCAGGAGCAAAGACAGAACACTTTCTGAGGGATATGAGTCATCTGTGTGGTATGAAAGCCTCCTTCCCAGAGAGAGTGCACATACTTAGCTTTGATTTCCTGGAAGACTTTCCGGTCTGTCAGGGGATGGAGGTTGGAGAAGGAGGAAGATAGGAAGTGAAGCAGGGGGGAATGACTAATCAACATTGGAAATAAACACATTCTCATGTGCCCACAGCCTCTTCCAAGAGCAAATGTGACAGAGGTAGGAAAGAAGGCCAAACCAATTCTGTTTCCTTTGAAACCAATCCCTTTGAGGTCATCTTTCCTGGGATTTTGATTGGGAGAGGAGGTTCATTCTTATTTTTTTCTACTGATAATATTCCTGTGTTTTTGTCCCACCCTCCCCCTCCCATCCCAAGCAGCCAGCTCCATTGAGTGTCATTTGCAGAGTTAACTGGAGTGAGACTTCTGCTATCTTATAGCTCCCAGATATTAGATGAAGTTGAACAGGTTGGGTCCACCCTCTCAACACCCAGCTGTCTGCTTGACAGGCTCCACCACCAGCAACAATCCTTGGCACTCTGGCCAGTCTCCAAGTGCTGACAGGTGGAACGGCACTGTCTGCAGGGTGTTGGCCGTGCTTTTGTCAGTGCACATGTGTGGGTCCTTCACAAAAACCACGGTGCTCCTGCTACAATGAGTGCACCAAACTTGCTCTGCCTCATCACAAAAACTCAGAATTTAGTGTTTTTGCTCTCACTAGCTCTCTCTCTATCTGCCCCATCATTTTCTGTTGATTACTTGTCAAATAATATTTCTATATTCATACATGTTTAGTATATGAATTTTCACTATGTAATTCTATTCCTTCTTTTCCCAATAGTAACTTCCTACATCTTTATAATGTTTCAAAGTCAAAGTGTTTTTTCAGTGAACAAGTAGGAGACAAGGCCGATCTAGGAGCCAGAAGACCAAGAATCTAACTCAGCTTTGCCCCAAACTTGTTATGTGAACTTGAGCTACTTTCCTTAGCCCTATGGGCTCAAGTTCCTTATGCGCAACATGGAATACCACCTGCCTCACCAGCTTCACAGAGATACTGTGAGGCTCCAAGCAGACATGCATATAAACAGCAATAGGCTATCAATACACAAGAAACTATTCCCATGCTAAAATGTATTTTTTCAGTGTTAGTCTGTATATATAGCTATTTTCTTCTACCTGTTTTTGGCAAACACTGCATTTGCAAGTTCTCTACTACTTTCTGTTTTATTGGATCTACTTTATTGATTCTACTTACTTTCCATCAAAACTGACTTTCTCTGACATCACCCTAACTCCAGCCCTAGGGTTAGCACCAGGAATTGAGCAAGAGGCCTTCCAAATACATTTACCAATAAGCAAATTATAGAAATTGTTTTAAGGATTGCCACCTGCCTTGGCTATGCTAGGATCAGAACTCAGAACTCTAGTATTAGTAATACTTGCTTATGTTTATAAAGCATCTTACAGTTTACAGAACATTTTCAAATCCACTTTCCCATGAGACTGGGTAAGAGAGTGAAGATACCCATTTTACAGATGTGCAGACTGAGGTTTGGAGAGGCTAAATAACCTGCCAAAAGCCACATAGCTAAAAATTGACAGAACCTGATGCAGACCCACCCATATCTTGCTCCAAATCCAGTGGGCTCTCAAATATCCCATTTTCCCCCTCCCTTTTCAACCAGAGCAAGCAATATCCCTTCCTCCTACCCTCCTCCTGGCATTGAACAGTCCTTCTCTTTTCTCTCCATCACAGTTGGTTTCTACCTATTGATGTTCCAAGAAGGAGTCAGGCAATTGACAGCTACTTTTCTCTGCTTATGAGTATGCCCTTGGCTTGCCCTGTGTGTCTACCACTACACTGGCTCAGGTCCAGATCCACTTAGAGCCAACAAAGAATGAAGGCTGCTAGACAAAAAAATGTCCAGGCAGTAACCATGTGATGATAGTGAGCTGGGTGATTAAACAAAGAGCATTTGGACTCCCTCTCTGTCCCCAGGACACAGCCCCAGATCAAACCATGGAAGTGGAGGTTCCAACAGCTACTAGGCCGGTCATGGAATGGGCAGGGATTGCATGACTTACTCCTTGGGCGAGCCAGCTCTGACCAATAAGCTCCCTGGGTAGCATTTGTGCGACCTAGGATGGAGTGTACTTACTCATGCCTTGGCTCACCTCATTCAGACAGAAGAGGAGAGCCGCTAATGGGCAGGCAGACTGACCAGTTTCCCCTGGATTTGGGGTAAAAGAAGAGAGGGTCTTGCAGTGCCCCACGTGCTCTGGGATTTGAGGGATACACCTCAAAGTCGATGTCGATGTCTCCACATCAAAGAGGGAACGAAGATTGAGAGGGCCAGGGTCCTCTGATGATCTTTTTCAGTTTCCTGCTGCCATTAGGTCTGGCTCTCTGTGCCTAGATTTTGAGATCTTCTGGAATATGACCCTATCTCCTTTCTGATCTCTACTTTCCATATGTTCCTTGCTTCTGCCCCACATACCTCCACAAGGGACCTCATACCTTAAGCACTCCCACTTCTAGGCTGTTGTAAACACCTTTCCTCTGGGAAAACCTTCCCTCTACTTTGCTGTTCACCATTGGTTGAAAGCCACTTAAAATTCCCCCTCCTCCATGAAGCCTCCTTTAACTACTCAGGTACATGATAATCTCACCCTTCTCTAAATTTCATTTAAAATTTATTCTTTACTTTTTCCTTTAATTGGTTCATAAATGTTCCCTTACTCCCCATCCACCTAATGCACTCTAGGTGGTAAGCTCCAGAGAGCAGGGATCTTGTCTTATTTCCTTTATAAGCTTTTGCTGTCTGTGAATTTTGGGCACCTAGGATTTTAGTGAAACTTCACTCTCAGTAGTTCCTGGCACTTAGCAAATAAAAATGTAGCCAGCCATGGTGACAGCTTTCAAAAAGATTATAACCTTTTTTGGAAAACAAGACATAAATGTGTTTATCCAGCCAGCATGGACTGGGAGACAGCCCGGGGCTCAATAATGAAAGGTTGCAAGAGCAGGAGAGGGGGTTTGAGGCATATGTTGAAGACAATGGAGTTATTAGAGGTCTTTAGAGCCAGAGAGGGGAGATGTGCAAGACAGAAGATTAATTTGGCTGCTGTCTTGCTTCCTTCCCTCAGACCACAGGGGCCTTCTCTCTGTTCCTGGAACCCATCAGGTTTATTCCTGTTTCAGGGCCTTTGCACTTATAATTCCCTTTATCTGGAATGCCTCTTCCCAGTCTTCACAAGGCTGGCTTTTTTCCTTTCTTTTCCATCATTCAGAGGTGGGTTCAAATGTCTTCTTCTCAGAGACACTTTTCCTCACCCCACACCTGGTAGCTGCCACCCTCAGTCCCTCTCAGTGTTTTTGTGTTTGTTCTTGTTTGTTTGCTTTTGTTCAAAACATTTCTCATGCTCTAAAATTACTGTTCTTGTTTGTTTGCCTGGCCGTTCCCTCTCCCCACCCTATGGACATAAACTCCATGAGGGCAAGGAGCTGTTTTTCTTACCATCACATCCCCAACGCGTAGAATAGTATGTCACCGTAGAATAGTATCTGTCACATGTAGTCGCTCTACAAAAATGCACTGTTTGAAGGAATGAATGTTTAAGGTGGATTATGAGGGGAGTAGGGTTGGCAGAGAGCAGAGAGCCAAGAAACATGGAAAGCCAAGAGGAGACCGTGATAACCCAGCTCTGAGTGAACAAGTGGGCGGGAAGGGTGAGGATTGGCAGGACCTGGAAATGAGATGAATGCTGAAAAAGGGGGAGAGCAGCCAGGACAGAGGAGACTCGCTAGTTTAGATGCCTAGGAGAACCACGGAACCAATAACAGAAACAGAGAAGTGCAGGCAGGTAGAAGAGTAATAGTTCTGTTCTGCTATATCTTGATAGCTGTGTTTCTTAGAAACCTTGTGTTGTTATTTTTTAAATCACATCAAAACAATAACTTCAATGAAAACAGAGAGGTTAACCGATCATAAATAGTCATTCATCTATCTGTGCATCATTTTTAGTTGTTGTTCCTTTAGAGTTAATTCAAAAATGATAATACCCACTGTTCACTTAATGTTTATTCTGTTTTAAACATTGTTCTAACAACTACATATATTATTTAATTTAATCCTCAAGGCACCCCTATACATAAGTTTTTCTTATTCCCATTTTATACATGAGAAAACTGAAAGAGAGTAGGTCAATAACTAAGATAAGGCCCTACAGCTAACAGGTGGTACAGCAGGAATCTAAACTCAGGCAGAATAATTTCTAGCTTTATTTTCCTACAGAAACTTCATGTTTTAAAAAGGTATTTGTACAACCACAGGTATACTGTTATATCAAGACAAAAATTAGTTGCCCAAAACTAAACAAATCAAACCTGAAAATCACTAATCAAATCCTGAACAACACACGAAGCCAGACAATAATCAGTGAGGTCTTGGACCACAAAATTGAAATTAGATGGTAAAAACACACAAAAATAAAAACAATTTGGAGCAAAGATCACAAACATCAATAAAGGAACTTAATGCACTGGCGCAGCTAGTTAGCTGGCCAAGGCTGTTGGATGGCCCTGTGCAGGCAACAGCACTTTCCTCCAATGTCTGGGTGCAAGTTTTCATTCACAACCCTACTCTGAACAACAGAAGTCTCCACGCTGCCATGCAGGTTCCCCAATTAATCTTTTTTATTGTATTTAGATTGCATTAAACTCACGCTGCAAGAGAGATGCCTGCAGTATTTCAGACAAGCAGAGTTTGGTATGAAAGTAGGAAAAGGGCTTGCACGTGTTCAGGAGATCGACACAGATCTCAACTCTTACATGTTCAAAGTAACCCAATGCCCATTAACTTACCCTTGTTTCCCTCCCCCTTGAAGCCACTCCCCACTACAGTATTATATCTTTCAACAGGTGGGTCCCCACATGGTAAAATGGATCTTACCCAGAGAAAGGGTCCCACCCCACAGCAGACACCTACCTGCCTCACTGTCAGTGGCTGAGAACACCCCTTATGAAAAGATGTCTTGCTAGAACAAAATTTCAGGAAATGACCCTGTATGCTTTGTCCTGTTGGTGTGCTAAGAGAGATGGTGGCAGCTTCTACTTGCAGAAAAAGTCAAAGATAAAGTCCCTGGAGCTCTTCTATGACAATTATGAAGGGGACTTAGGGAGCAGATACCCAGCTTGACTGCCCCCCTCCTGCTCCTCCTGTAGGTCCACTCATGGCCCATGCCTGGATGGACAGAATTCTGTGGGGCTCTGTGACTCATGTGGAAGATCTTGGCCAAGGAGAAGTAGCCCTCTGCAGGGATGACACTCTAAGCATCTCCTATGGGTGACAGACCAAGGGCTGTTTAAGCTGCTAACTTCCTTTCATGATCCTTCCCTGGAGAACGGAGGCCAAGGCTCCAGCCCTCAGTGGTTTTAAAGCCTGGTTCCTTTTCAACTCCCTTTCCAGGTTATTGTATCCATGACTATCCTACCTATAGCTCCAGAAGACAGGCTCTATTTGCTGTGCTGCTGCCCGGAACATTGTCATGGGGTGTCCTGACTAAGAGAGGCAGGCTGAACTCACCAGAGCCCTGAGGCCATGGAACAGGGAGAACATCTGCGCTTCAGGCTTTCTGGGTTAAGGGAAGAGAGACGGGCTGTTCAGATCCAAGTACACAGAGACCTGATTTGACCTTCAAGGTAACTGTCTCTACACTGTAGCAAGGTGTTTTGTAATGAGAGTCTAACTTTCGGCAGAGGAGCTTGCAAAGACTGTCCCCAGGGAACCAGAAACCACCCTGGCGATTAGCACAGGTGATTATACTAAATGAAAAGACTAAGCATAATATCAGGAAGATTTGCATAGGCTGCTCTTACTGATCTTATTTACCATCACTAGAAACAGGTCTTGTATACTGCTGCATGCAAATGCATGAAGAAAGGCAAACTGACTTACGCAACAACTAAAAAGAGTAAATAAGCATATGTCCCTTTTGTTTCTTTTTTCCCCCCAAAAAAACAAATTCCTCAATCTTATTTTTAAATCCACTTTTGCTGGGGGGGGAGGGTCAGGTTTCAGTAGAGGAGGTCTTGATAGGATAGAAACCCCCGTCAAGAAATCCAAGTTGACTCAAGAGGTACCTGCCTAACATTTAATCTCGTCCCTCCACACCTCCTCTCTCCTATCTGTAGACCTTGAACAGATACAACATTTAGGCACATGTCCATAGCAGAGGGATCTAAAGCCTTCCCACTGCCCAACTTAAGGGGGCTCGGCTACCTCCTGCCTGCCCACAGCTAGAAATCTAGAACCCTTCTCGCTGTTCAGTAAACGGGTTAATGTTTGATACTACACTTCATCTTCACCAAAAGGCCAAGAAGCGATGGGGACAACTTTTAAGCCCTTGTGCATCCACATCTATGGGGAACACAGATCTCTTTCATCAATCACAACTGCAATTAACAATTCCAGTCCCCGTTCCTTTGCTGTCCCCACTGCCCCCTCACTCACCTGTCCACAGCAATAGCCAGCAGGGCATTGGTGGAGACGTAGAGGGAGACAGTGCGCAGGTAGTTGACAGACGCACACAGGATGTGGCCATGCTCCCAGGAGAGCTGGCGCACCACGTAGTAGTCCATCTCAAAGGGGCAGCAGACAATGGCCACCAGGAAATCAGAGACGGCCAGATTGGCGATGAGCAGGTTAGTAAGGTTGCGAAGTTTCTTGTAGCGGGCCAGGGCAGCAATGAAGATGAAGTTGCCAATGCCACAAACCAGCATGATGCCCACCAGGGCCATGCCAATGACAATCTTGGCAGCAAAGAAAGTCCAAGAATTGGTCACGTCTTCATCTTCATCCAAGGGCATGTCGTAGTCGCCATAGCTGAAGTTGAATGGAAAGGAAGCAGCTTGGGTTTCGTGGGGGTCAAGCACAGAAAGGAAGCTGGTGGAGATGGTGGCATTCCCATCCATGACTCCCACAGTGAGCTCCGCTGGCCAGGTAATGCCTTGAGCAGCACTGCTCAGAATCCCTCTGGGACGGTGTCTGGGCAGCTGATGTCTCCTTTCTCTGCTGACACTCAGTTCTGCCTTAATGAGTCAGAGTGTCCCTGCCAGCATCCTTGGGGTACAGTACTGGAGGTCCATCCTAAGCCTTTAAAAGACACACAAACAGTTGGCTGCATATCTGGGTGAACCTGGCCAAATTTAAAGCCATCCTATAACCTAAACAGATCCATTAGCCACATGCTCAGAGCGAACACTGGGTGATGGAGTGGAAATAAATGAATCAGTGAGAGAAAAGAAATGATTAACAACCACATACCACTCATTCAGAGATGGGTGGATTGCTGTAGAGACAATCGGGCGCTGACTCAATGTACTTCCCTTACACTAAAGACCCCGAAATGTTGCGCTTTTTCTCAGGGACCAAAGTTGGATGTGTGGGAAGGCTGAAGGGAAGGAAAGTGACCTGCTCCAAACTCCATTCCCTACCTTGACAGCCTGAACTTTGTCCTTCGTGAATTGTCCCATTCCGTCGCTTAAAAGAAGTGATTCTGAAACCTATCGAGGAGGGAGGGATTTGAGACAACCCTGTCTGCAACTCTGTCTGGTCTCCTTCCTTCTGGCAAAACACTTGCTCTGAAATCACAGAGCCTCCCTAGCAGCCACCTTCCCCTCTCCTCCCTGGGCTTGCTGTTCCCACATCCAAGTCTGCAGTGACCCTAAAAGCCAGGCACGCCAAGGCTTGACCCCAGGCAGAGGCTACAGGGTTGAAGTCACAGCCTAATCTCTGAATGGCTTAGAAAAGGGGCTCCGGGGCAAAAAGCTTTCCTTGACTGGTTGTGTGTCCTGAGGTAAATAGCTTAAACTCTCAGTTTCAACATCCTCCAGGCAGGAGGAGTTTCCTGGAGAGGGAAGACGTTACACCCTAGAACTGCAAGGAATTACTATCCAGTGATCAGGCCTCCGCAGTCAGCTGCAAAGAAGGGAAGGAAAATCCTAACCGGGATGACTCCATCACATCATATAATGGGGCTGGGTGGGAAGTGGAGAGTGGAGGGGGGGGCTGTCCACTGCACTGCTGGGGACAAAGGACAAGAGGAAGTCCCCCTGTCCCCTACCCCTCATAGGGCCTGAAGACATCAATCAGGTTGCTGGGATAGTGCTGGAAATGTCAGGAAAGCCAGAGAGAGAAGATAAGTATGGAAAACCCGAGGTTCCTGGAAAAGGGAGATACAAGGAAGATACCTAGGACGCCCGGGAAAGCCTGCTGCCCTGTTCCTCAAAGGCAAGACATCTGGAGCTTGTCTTTGGGGGGCCAGGGTTAAAGTCCCTCTGTACCCCAATAAAGTTTAGCCCCATTCTTGCCTCTCTCCCCAGCTCCTCACCCCTGCTTTTCTCAAATTTCCTTCCTCTGAGCCCTCAGTTCTGTCCCTCAGGCCTTGCTCTTTGCCCCGTCAGGTGTGAGCTGCAGAACCAAGAGCTGAAAGGTCAGGGGGGCTCAGGCCTGCAGCCCAGGGAGGTACAGCCGCAGCCCGGGGGGGCCGTCCACACTCCTGGCAGCCCCTGTGTCTTAGAGGCATGTCGCCTCTGGAGGGGAACCCTACGAGGCTGTCACCCAGAAGGCTCAGAGTCAGGTTTTAAAAACAAAGTAACAAAAACTTGTGGGGGGTGTTAGGAGATTTTAGGATTTGGGGAGACGCTGCCCATTGATCTTTAGCAGATGAACCCCATTTTCACCCGGCGTCCTCTGGGGACCCTGCCATTCAGCGCTGCCCCCGGCCAGGCCCCTCCGCCCCCTTCCCCGTCAGCACCTGGCGGCCTCCCCGCAGGCCCCGCTGAGAAGCCCGCTCTGCTCCCGGCTGTGTCCTCGGAGCCTCCGAGTCTACACCCAAGGGCAGGAGTGGGGAGCCGGCACCCCGAGGAGAGGAGCCGGGGTGCGAGCCCCGGAGGCCCCTCCCC